GAGTAAAAAGTCAATGTTAAAAGCCATAAATTGTGGGGAATATTCATTCAAATTAATTATGTTCCCCGCGGGTGATCTTAATTTAGCCCTTCTTCTTCACTTTTGTTCAATTCCAAGGGTGAAGCCAGATTCCATTTTACTCTTTGCATGTTAGTAGGACCACTTTGGAAATTGAAAGCCAACTACAACTATTATTAAATGAATTGCATTTTTTTTTTATTTCTAATTAGTTTTTAATATATCCTCAATTTGATCACCAATTTTTAGCTATCATGCACTTCATTCAATAAACAATCGGCTTTATCTCTTTAAGGGGAGTCCATTCATGATACATTAAATTTAGGCAATTTATTTAACTTTTACACTAATGCAAGTTCTTAGTAAAAAAAAATTAACTTATAAATATTTTTTCCCTTCAATATTTCATATTCTTTCTATAAGTAACTCTTTAATTTTAAACAACCCAAAATTGAATGTAAAATACTAAAAAATATTTTATTGTTAAACAACTCATGAGTAATTCTCATTAAAGATGTTCATAGATTTTACCTAAAAGTGCTCCTACAATCATAGGCATCACACATTATGTAACAATTTAAAAAAAAATTTATCAATTTTGATCTGATCATTAAATTTGCACATATGTAATGCATTTACTCATAATATTCGAAGTAATATGTTACATGCGTGTAATAATATGACTACAAAATATGGTTGAATTCTCACATTTTGCATTAGAACATTTTTTTTTTAATTTGAACTATTAACATAAGTATATTTATGGTGTGTTTGGGTTACCATTTAACGTAAAAAAAAATTAATTAAATGCGAAAACAACCAAAAGTTACTTTGGAGAATATGTGAAATTTAAAGGTGTGCAAAATATTTAAACTAATTCAAATTGATATATGATCGATCTAATCATATTAAAAAAATTGATCATTTTAAAAAAAAATTAAATTGAACTACTTTATAAAATCAATTTATTATCCAATTCATTTTTACATGGATTGGTTCATCAAATCAGTTCATTTTATGAAAACTACACTTATAAAATCAATTTGATTATTCAACTCTATCTAATGAATACTTTAGTAAAATTTTGTTTGTCTCATTATAAACATGTTTGCGAACATACACTTAGGAGTCGGATCAAAATCACAAATTTTAAAGCTGGAAGATAAAATTGCATTAAAAAAAACTAAAAAACCAAAATTACATATTCAGAATTAAAATAATAAAAAAGCAATTTAGCCGCCATTATTTGTTGTCTTTTTCTGTATCCAATTAACAAACATTTAAGTGGGTATTAAAAAATATAAATGATCACCAGATAAAAGATTTGCTCTTATTCTTGAATCAAAGATGAATGATTATATAAATGAATGATTGATTTTTTAGTTGATAATTGTCAAAAAAAAATGTTAATACTAATGTAATTTAAATTCCTTTAACTCTATCTTCTCCTTGCCTGTATTTATCATCACGTGTTGCTAAAATTGTTATACTAAGTAACTGTCCTGTAAAAGTTAGATTTGGATCTGACAACATTTGGACTGATTACAGTTTTAATAATAGTTCATGAATCATGACAATAAGTTGAAGACGGGTGTAAAAAAATATTACATGGTGTTAATTAATAATGAGGAAATCATTCATTGTTATCCAAATATGAAATAACAGCTAAAGTAATACTACTTTTTTTTATTAAAATATTATATTTTATGTAAATTGTATTTTTTTGTGGGACGTGGGTCTCATCAGTCATCATAGCTACCAACTCCAAAATCCAACAGATGTTTTATCACAAAATTTTATGTACACAAACAATTATCTCTTTTTTCATTTTTTTCAACTACCAAAAGTAAAAAAAGAAGAAAACAAATATAGTTACCTCTCTTTTCAATTTTCAACGACCAAAAGTAAATTAAACAACTTATATTCAATTTTTTAATGTTGTTCTTAAATTAAAACTTAAGTTTTGCTTAGCATGTTAACTTTTATAATTTATTTGGTTTTGTAAAAAGAGATGAGAAAGGAAAAGGTAAGAAAAATAAGGTACCTTAGTTTGATTCATTTTTATGGAAGAAGAACGAAGTAGCTTTACTTAGTTCACAAGGGGACGGGAGAAAATACAACTAATATATCATTTTGTTTTTATAAATATTAATTATGAAAAAAATAGTTAAATCGGTAATTTAGTGAGAAAGTTTAAAATTTATGAACCATTTTTTTTCTTTCTCTAAATTCTTCCAATATATTGAGAGTAAAAAAGAAGAAGAAGAAGAAGAAATATTGTAACTTTCTTATTTTCATTTTTTTATTTCCAAAATTTTAAAATAAATGAAGTAAATTATAAATAAAAAAATCTTCTTTTTCCTCTTTTCTTCTTTTCTCTTTTTCACTGTTAAACACATTTTTTAAGGTAATCAAACACATGAACAATGGCAATCTTTATTAGTTAAAATAATGAAAAAATATTAATTTTAACATAAGAAATACCAAATAATACACTACATCTAAATTTTCCTCTGCAATATTGCACTTTTAGTGGCTAATATTTGGATAAAGAGTGGTTGATAACCATGGGGTACGTGCTTCTTTGAAAAGGATAGAGAAAAAGAATTGGAGAATTTTTTTTTATCATTAAAAAATATTAAGAAAAAAAATTAAGATTTTACAAAAAGTTACACCTACTTTGTCGGCCAAAATTAAATGACTAAGGGGTGGAGAACACTTTTCCCACAATATAAATAAATTATCACAAGATAAATCATGTTTGACTAGTCAATCAATACAGTAACTTCTTTCTTTCAAAATATGATAAAAGAAAAAAAAAAGTCATTCCAAATCGTGCAAAATAGCTAGAAGTTCAGGTTTTATAATTGTAGTAAATCAACGATTATCAAAAAATCTCATCATCAACTAAACGAGTGACATGATATTAAAAAATTAAAAATAAAATTAGATTACAATAATCAAAATGAACATTCCTTTTTATATAAAAGAAACATGATTGAGTAACGTGTGTCATTAACAGTATACACCGATATATTTTTGTAATTTTGATGAATAAAAAAACACAATATTTACTAATTTTGTCAAACTTAATTTATATTTATTAAAGAGATTTCTTATTTTAATTACGTTTTTCTGATAACATGGCTGTGGAAAGTTGAAAGTTTGTTTAAAGAGATTGAATTCAACAATTTTACTTGTAACAAAGAATTGTTGTATTGTAGCTTTAATCTCTTGAGAAAGAAGATTACGTGTTTTTAAGGATAAAAAAGGGGGAAAAGGAAATTAAGAAAGCGTGGTTATGTAGTTGTTGTGACGCGTGAGTTGTAGTCGTGTTGGCTTATGTGGCCATTTGCATTTGGTTGGACTCATAGTCATGCATCTATCATCTATGATTAAAAAAATTAAAGCGTGTGGTTCAACGGTAGGGGTTGATTCACGTTTAAGCAAGGTCAGAAGTTCGAATCGAATCCTATTTTGTGTATTTAAATCTTGGGATCAGTTATCTCACTCTTGCTATCGACCCTGGATACTCCAGGGACAAAACCAGAAAAAAAATCAATCATATATGATTCAAATGTCACTATTGCTCCATTTCCAACAACTCAAGGTGGTCTCAAAAAGTGGACCCCATTTCGTGACCCCAAAGCATCAACAATCTCATTCCTTCATTCCCATTATGCTTCCATGACTACTACTCTTTTTACATCCTTCATTCATTCTCCCAACTCTTCCTTTCTATGTTGGGACAGTTGTAACACACCCATCAAGTGCATTTTAAAGAATATAATTCACTTCTAAATGTTTCATTATATAAATTTAATCACCGCATATCCTCTTTGATGGTTAAGAGTAGATAATTCTTTTTTTTTTTTAAGCTTTGCTTCTATCTCAGTGTAGATTCAAATACTTTTGTATTCCATAATCTAAAATCATTTAAATTAATCAATTAAGAATCCTAAAATGTGTTGGTACTAGCAATAATAGATACATATTTGATGTATTTATCAATCACTATAGTCGTTGTGGAACTAGCATTTCAAAATGGATTTATTATCTTCATTGTAATATTTTTTATTGGAAAAATATTATTTTTATTACTAAATATAATAAAATGCTGTGATAAAGCTGTGAGAATAGTTACATAATAAAATATTAATTTTTTAAAATGGACTAAATTTTGAATGGAGAATAGTTACATAATCGACACAACAAAGATAAAGCTGTGAGAATATCTCAGAACATATTAGAGAATAAAAAGCTCTAATTATCATTGATATGATAAATAAATAAATAAATAAATCTAACACATATGCCAAGTTTGATGAAATGTCCAAATCAATCATCATATTCCAAATTGTTCAAGTCATGATCCTACTAATGTTTAGTTTCCTACACTCTAATGCACCATACAACTTTTCATAGTATCATATGTTATTTACCCTTCTTTTTATGTGTCCCTGTCATCTCCTTCTGAGTTAGTTAAGCACTTTCCTCCTTTAACAGCAACCAAGGACTCACACAAGACACCTGTTCTTGTTCTTGGATTACACATATGAACCATCTCACAACAAGCATTCCAATACAAAATCCAAAATTTAAATTGCGCCTTGTCCCTTTCCTCTTTCTCATATAATTATATATATAAAAATTAAAAAGTAAAAACAAGATTGGTAATCCTAGAAAACCCCACAACCAACATGCATGTCTTGTCTTTGAATTAACTTACCATTTGCATGGGTATATATTATGTAGATCAAAAGTTCAACCATATTTTCACATGATAATAATAATAAGTTAAATTTAATAACTAAAGAAAACACAAGAGAAGAAGCTTGTGCACAAAGCACCATTCTTTTCTTTACCTATCTGTA